AAGAGCAAAGGCTGTGCTGCCCCAAAGCCAATCGGGGCCGGGAGCTGCCCGAGGGGCCGGGCTGGAAACTTCCCTGTAACCGAGTAGGACGCGGCCGCCGGCCCCGCTCTGCACCTGCCAGCAGCCTGTTGGCCTTTCTTTTCTTTGCAAAGGAAGCTTCTAGATCAGCGCTGCCAGTCCCCAGTCCCCAGCCCCGCTTCATGGCACATCTAATGGCGCTGCCAGGCCGGCACGCAGGGGTTGCCCGGGAACCGAGGCTTTCGGGGTGAGCCCTGAGCATGGCCTCCAGTAGCTCAGCACCCCTCTCCTTTGAGCATCCTCCTCCCCCCAGGTCACCCTGCGCCCCACCCCAGTGAGCTGAGGGGCCCTTAGCCATACACAGTGGTTCCAGGGGAATTAAAATTGTCCTCACTTCACTTTTTTAAAGCCATGAACCCCTTGCAGGTGCACTTGTGCCCTCCAGCCCAGCCTGCCCCATGCGGGCGTCACCCAGCCACTTGCTTGGAGATTAGCAAAGAGACTCTTGTAGAATTCTGGACTTTCCACCCCGGGGGTTTCCATGACAACCCCTTCCTGCAGGTGACCTGCTGCCTGGAGGAGTGAGGCTGGCCTGGGCGACCCAAAGAGGAGAGAGGGGCCTGGAGCCAGGGACTGGGTGGGGCTGAGCCTCAGTTTCCCCATGAGGCACTGGGTGCAGCGACATGCCTGTTGCTTGGTGGGCCAACTCTAGGCCTCTGCCCTCCCCTGCAAGTTCCTCAGTAAGTTAGCATAGAGCTGCCGTATGGCCCAGCAATTCCACTCCCAAGGGTACACCCCGAAGAATTGAAAGCATGTAAAGACATGTGTATGCATGTTCACAGCAGCACTATCACAACAGCCAAAAGGGGGTGTGTGTGTGAGGAGCGGGGGAGACAACCGAAATGTCCATCTACAGGAGAATCGATAGGAAAATGTGGTCCAGCCACGCAATAGCATATATTCAGCCAGAAAAGAGATGGGATTCTAACACATGCTACAACATGGGTGAACCTTGAAACATTCTGCTAAATGAATAAGTCAGACATGAAAGGTAACTTATTATATGATTCCATGTATATGAAATGCCCAGAATAGGCAAATCCATAGAGAGAGAAAGCAGATGAT